AACACGCTGGCAGATGCTGGTCCACCCCAAAGACCGCACATCCAAACACAAGAAAAGTAACAGTGTGTGCTGTCCAATGCAGTGAGGAATGCACAGACCTGTATACTGGGGAAACTAAACAACCACTACTCAAATGCATGGCTCAACACAGAAGGGCCAACTCCTCAGGTCAAGACTCAGCAGTCTACCTATATCTGTAGGATAAACGACACTCGTTTGAGGACCATCAGGTGTACATTTTAGACAGAGAGGATGGTTGCCTTGAAAGAGGTGTCAAGGAAGCCATTTACACACGGGTTGAGAAGCCATCGCTGAACAGAGGAGGGGGTCTACACCAACACTTACAATGCTGTCCTTTAATCACTTCCCAGGAAACTTAAACATTCATTCATTCACTTTTTGCCTCAGGTGAAGATGCCAACGATGGTCGTTCAGATTTGGCCTCTGGTGGTTCTAATGACCATAACAACTTTCGTTACAACAGTTAGGAGCACTAACAAACAAGCGGTATCGATTGTCTTGGCAAACGACCCCGCCGAGGTTAAATAGCTGAGTTTCCCTATAGTCAGTCAGAACTGAAGAAGTCTCTTGGATGAGGGACGAAATGTCTTCTAGCACCTTCAACCAAATCCAGTTGCCCTTGGTTTTAACCTTCTTTGGATAAGTGTGACCTGGATTACTGAGAACCTTCACAGACATTCAGTGTATAAGTTTTAGTGGCATCTAGTGATGCGGGTTAGGATTTGCAACAAACAGCTCAGTCACTGCTCAGCCCTCCCTTTGCAAGCACCAAGCAGAAGCTATGGTGGCCAACACACTCTGTCTATATAATACATGTGGTCCTCCATTCCAAATTTCACTTCTCTTCTTACTTCTAACAAACCAGACGACTACTACTTCTTCTTCTTCTACCTGCATTGTATGAGGATAAAATGGCTCATTCTAAGGTAATAAAAACAGAACAGTTCAATATGTAAGGTCTTCGCCACTGAAAATATAGTTATCTATATTATATTGCATTTCTGTCAGGGACAGTGCACATAAATGAATATTTCTGCTAGCATCAATGTAAATATTCCAGATTTAGCCAGAAGGCTATTTTCCATCTGTAGTCCCTGGTCAGTACAGTCAATACAAAAAAGACAACATAATAAAAACAACAAAAGCAATAGTAGGCTACAGTTCAATACACAAGACAATGTTTCAACGAGCAGATCAAAAACTGGTTATCAAAGCAAATCAATTATGAGTGGACAGTAATTTATTGTAGTGTACGTTGCCATGCTCATACCTTGTTATTAAAGTGCTGTACCTTTATAGTGCTTTATTAGTGCATTAAAGTGCTGTACCTTGTGTGGGACCACACAGCAGGGTGAAACACCAACTGTATGATCCCACAACAAGGGGCCCCACTGACTTGCAGAGTGAGGATACACCAGTGCATCCTTCGCGGACGTTGTTTACTGACCGACACGCCCCCTTTCTGGGTAGCCCTTATATTGATTGGATGCTGTTATATTTGATTTGTTTTATGATTCACTGTCTAGTTAAAATCTGAGTTCATTGTCTGAACAACAAAAGCCCCACACACAACTTTCTTTTATTAGAAATATTTTGTTTTTCTTTTATTTCTCCTATCAACTTCTATCATGGAGACAATTAAAGTAAGAGAGAGTCGGACAGTCTGTCAGCAGGAAACATGTTTTACATTATTTTATATTACTTTTCAGTCACATGTGAGGCCGGTCGTTTAGTCCAAATAGATGACTATAAAACAGTAAACAAGTTAGGAGTCGGACAAGTCACAAAACTGCACTTAAGACTCTAATGAAGCAAGCAAAGGAAAATAAAGCCGCTCATCCTGCCGATCTCACCTATTGCATCTGATGAGAGTATCGACGGCTCTGTGAGTAAAATCAGCTGATGAAAGTATGAATGAAAGCCAATGCGCAAAAAAAATTTGATTGAGACTCCATCTGTATGCATTATCATCCCATTAATGCATGTTCGACTTTTGTGAGTTTTGTGCTTTCTCCTCTCTCCTTCTGTCGCTTTCTGCAAGTGTTTCTACCTCCAGATCTGCAGTAATGTTTACTGCCCATTTCCTAATTCTGGACATGTAAAAGTCCTGAAGGGAGGGCAGGTTGGCACAAATGATTTTCTCTGCTGTCCTGATTCTCCGTTGTTCCTGTCCTGTTTGGTTGGCAACCAATACCAGTGATGGATGTGCAGAAAACAGACTATTATTACATTGTAGAACTAAATCAGCAGCACCTGTGGCAGGTTAAACTTCCTGAGCTGGCACACAAAGTGTATCTTGCGCTGAACCTTTTTGAGAGTTTGTCAATGTTGGATGCCCACTTTAGTTCATGGAAGATTTTAGATCCCAAAAACTGCAAGGGGTCCTGCAAAGGGCCTGTGATGTCCTTCAGTTGTCAACAGCAGTCTTATGAGGGATTTCATGACCGCTGACGTCATGATGGGCTAATAATAATTTATTCCTGTAATAGAAGGTTTCTTAAGGACTGGGATTATTGTGGATCACAAGATCTGTGTGAAGATGGGTGCCAGTTAGTCAGGACAGGAGGGTGATACACCATCCAGGTGTAGTGCCTTCCTGATCTTCTGTCTCTGAAAAAGATCCTGAGTGCAAATGGGGGGGTCAGTGGGGAGGGATGAGGTGGTGGCAAGGGGCACAAGTGGTTGCTTAATGTTGAAGTAGGTGTGGGGTGTGAGTGTGGGCTTATCAAACCTGCAGTAAAACCAAGCAGAAACTTCTGCAGCTGAAAATGTGCTAAACTCTGCAGTTCCCCAAATGGCCACTTGAGGCCTCCTCCTTGGTCTGACTTAGCTGCCTGAGTTTTGCTGTAAACCAGGGTTTATTGATGTTGTTTCTTCAGGTTTTATTCGGCACACATGTCCTCATGATGTCTGACAAAAGATGTCACAATGTCAGAGTTCAACCAGGTCTGTAGCTGCAGCCTCAAAAACACTCCAATCGTAGCAGTGAAAGTGGGCCTGTAACTCCAGCTTTGCCTCGTTGGTCCATCTCCTCACAAAAGTTGAACCAGACAGTGATCTGAGTCCCAAAGCTGCACGGGGAACAGAGTTAGGCATCCTTTATTAATTTATACTAATGGTCCAGTGTGTTTTTATCCCTGGTGGGACACCTAATATGCTGCTAGATTCTGTCTGTATTTTGGAAGTTTATGGCTGAGGTTGCTTTTTTATAGTTGTGTGCAGTGTAGGTGTGGTCTAGCAGCTCTTGCTGGCCCATACAGGGAGCACTGTCTCAGGGACATCAAGGAAAGCCAGACCCAGCCACAACACCATCAGTCACAGTCATTGCTGGAAGTAGTGATGGTGCTCTCCAGCATCTCAAACCGCCCACTTTGTTTATGTCATTGTACTAGTGTATAGCATCCTCACACAGATGGTCTGGTAGAGCATGGTGGAGTATGGTGACAAATTCATGGATTAGCTTGGTACCAATTTGTAACACATTCAGGTTGTTTGGAGCACCCTTTTCAGCGCCTCATGGACTGGGTGCTGCATCCAAACGTTGCATGTCGTAAGATGTCCTTTCTTTTTTAGAAGTGAGGCAGGGCCTCACTGATCATCACCTGCTGTCCCCTTGGTATACAAGCTGGTGGACTCAGTGACTCACTCTCTCTCTCTGGGCATATTGTTTTGGTCAGGTTTTCCTTGTGTTTGTTCACTACACTTGACTGTACACACATGCAGACATGCAACACAGTACTGATCTTAGTGATTTACATATTTTATATCTTCATCGGTTAATTTCTAATTTGTTAAATAAATCTTTAGTTACAAGTTATGTGTTGTCCTCCTGTCCTTTTCCTCCCTTTGTGCTGGGCTGTGATAGTTCAAATCTAAAAAGGGTGTGAGGGTATTTTAACGCCAGGAATCCACTGACTCTGGCTATGGCGCGCCATGGCTGCGCCACAGTTTTAATGCATCCATAGCCCAGCGTCAAAGTCCACTGGAAGCGTCTCAGAAGTGTTTCAGCAGCTGAGCGTGCAGCCCGCCCCCGTTATTGACTTATTATTGATTTTTGTGCTTCTACTACCTTCTTCACAACTCTATATGACCCTGTTTTGTTTCAGAGTGGAGAGCCGCTTCTGGGATGCTTCAGGGACAAAAGCATTGACTATAATGCAAGTTATGGCTGGTGAAACTAATCACAGCGCAGGCCTAACGCACCGAAGCCGGAGTCAGTGGATTTTAGCCTTAAGACTAACTGGCTATTGACTAACCTCCACACGACCTCACCCACAAGGAGGCCTCAGATCTGGTTCAGTGGACAGAGCTGTGTCAGCAGGCATTGTTGAATATTGGCAGGATGTTCCTCTGGCCTAAGTTGTGTTATGTAGCAGTGCGGATGTGGTCATGCAGGTGGAGAGAAGGGCAGTGGTTCACAGGAAGGTTGATGCACGAGTAGCTTAAGTATTCGGGCAGATTCTCTCTGCCATGTGTCATGCATGTTACATGAGTTTCAATACCACACTGAAGCTGGGTCCAGGACAAAAAAAATCATAGCAAGCACACTGAGGAAAAAATCGGCCCCGTACGTCAGCATTTGTTTGCATTAAAGCTTGTTCCTCATGCCAGTCTGTGTACACTCCTTTCATCTACTCTCCCAAGTGTCACTCTCATGTCACAAATATGATGAACATTATATTTAAAATGTATATACTACATTTAGGGTGAAAGCATGTGTGTGCATCATGTATATTATTCTATTATAAGCAAATATGAGTAGTGCTCAGCATTTAGATTTTTTTGTTGTGGTGAAAAACTGTTTCCTGTGCAGGAAAAAGAATATGAGAAAATGCATCTGATGATGTAGTCTAGCAAATCTATGCAGCCGCAATGGAACACGTCATAATTTTGTTCTTTTCTTTGCTCTATGAATGCCTCAAACCGCTTCCTGTGACTGACCACACAGTTGCTGTCACCACTCACTCAGTAAACAACCTTCAGCTTCTCTGCCGGCAGGTTTGCAGCATGGAACAACTCAACTCCACTGTGGTCACTTCTAACATTTCCTCCTCTCCTGGATATCCACCTCTTGAATCCTGGGACTCCAGAGGTCTGGTCCCTGCGGTGATGCTGTCCCTCTGCTTCCTGCTGGGAGTTCCCGGAAACATTGCTGTGATCATCCTCAAACCAAACTGGCAGCACCTGTCCAGTGTGAGCCAGAGTTTGATGCTGAATTTGGCCATATCAGACCTGCTCTGCCTGCTCACCATGCCTCTGTGGATTTACACTTTTCTGTACAGCTGGACCCTCGGCCTGGTGGCCTGTAAGCTCCTAGCGTATCTAGTGTACTGCAGCCTTTATGGTAGCCTGCTGACTGTGACGGTGCTGAGTGTCCAGCGCTACCTACAGGTGGTGTATCTGCAGAAGTGCTTACATCAGGTCGGGAGGAAGAGGCTGCTGGCTCTGCTCTGGCTGGTGGCGATGATCCTGTCCATCCCTGCTTTAGTGGTTCGACAGGTGATCGAAGACCGGGACTGGACACACTGCAAATCTGACTACCTTTCCCAAACCCGTAATGTAGCTTTGCTGCTGATTCAGTCCCTGCTGGGATTTGTTTCATTTTCTGTTGTAGCATTTTCATACATTCGCCTCCACATAAAAGTGAACCAGACAGCGTTCTTCAGCAACCCACAGACAACCCGTCTGGTCACAAGTATTATTGTGACCTTTTTTGTTCTTTTGATGCCACATCTTGTCATGAATGTTCTTGGTATGGCAGCTTTTTCACTCAACAACAAGGGCCTGTTGACGTTTTGTATTAACAGCTGGAACATCACTGGAGCACTGGTATTTGTAAATAGCTGCCTGAATCCACTCTTTTATGCTTTTGCTTTGCTGAACAATAATAATGTTAATGCAGAAGTTGAACGTTCCAGGAAGTCTAGTCATTGACATAGTATGATCGGTGAAAGCCAGTAGAGAGGGCAGAACCTCAACGATGAAATAAAACAATGTTTAATTTAAAAAGGTGTTTTTAGTCAGACATGTAAAGTCAACTGTGGACAGTTCGAGGGCGAGGTTCTCTCATTTGTCACAGAGAACTGTAGATGATTTTAGGTTTAATGATGAATTTTGAGGTTAACTTCAAATCAGCTGTGTGCTGTTTAAAGCTGGTCCATAGCCAGAGAAAATTTGTGTGTGTGTGTGTGTGGTAAGATTGTCCAAAAGCATTATCCAGCACTTTATTCAATTGTATATATCTAAGTATCTTAGCTTTTATGGGAAAGCTCCAGTAAGATAAAACAACAGTTAATGAAAAGACTGAATAAATGCTTGGGTTGGAGTGCATCCTGTGAGAGGAATGACCATTTGAGTTCTCAAGCGTTGTACCGATCATCACCAATCAAGGCTCAACAACTGTCCGACCTGCAGCCTCTCTGCTCCTCTGTGTCTGCAGTGCGCACACACGGATCGAAGTTAGCCAGCTGATCAGCGGACATCGACGACAACTATGCTGTGTTGAAGTGCAACGACTTCCCCGAATTTGTTGATGAGAAGGATCAGTTGAGACAAGGTATCAAGTTCACACAATGTTGATTTATTCAACCCAATACAGATATATATATATATCCGGAGACTCTGCTGTCAGGCTGTCTAACACAAAGTCTGACTACTTCCAGCTAAGCAATGATTATATGCTGGAAACTGCACCCCTGTGTGTCTCTCGTGTTTGCCATATTTGGTAATTGACAGTAGTTATAGAATGTTCTAGTGTGTCTTAGGGGCTGTCATGTGAGTGTATGTGTGTGTGTGACTGTATTAATAAAAGTGTGAAGTGTGTCAGAGTGTATTATTGTCCGGGCCGGTTTCCTGTCATTCAGCACAAGCTTCTTAATTGTTGAATTACCTAAGATAAGCATGTCACACAATATTGAGTATCCTATGAGCAATCATAAGTAATAAGTAAGCATATAAGAGAATCATATCTATCTATCACTGTAGGGTTGTGCTGTATATCCACAGCTGGTTAGTTTAAGTATGCGGTGCAATAAAGACTTGGCGAGTAAAAAGCCAATACTTTACCAACACACCTGTTTAATAAGCATAAACACGATGTTTTAATCTGCTCAGTCTCTTATCCACAGCAACTGTGTTTTGGATTTACACAAGCACAGCGCTAGTTCAGCTAATAATTTATTGTTACAAACAAGCTAAAGTGAAAGCTCTGTCTTTAGTGACTGTTCAGCTTAGTTCGCCACCTACATTAAAATATGGAACATTATAAACCCAGCTGGTGGAAACAGACCAGCCCTCCTCTCTACCAGCAGCAGCAGAAGGAGGAGGAGGACAGGAGGGACTGAGTTGTTCATTCTTTCTAAACTTCACTCAGTATGTTGATGTCAGGAATATGATTTATTTTACTGACATGTTAGATTTGTTTCCAGTGAGATATTAGTGACTTTGCTGTTGTAAATCATGTTGCTGCTCTAGAAACAATTTAGTTAATAAAAAATGTTAAATTATATTTTTTAATAATATGCAGTTATTTAGTAATAAATAGGATTGATAAGAGCATCAATAAAGAACTGAACCAATAAGAATTACCAAGACAAGTGTGTCAGTAAAATCCTAATGATCCCAACTCGTGAGAAAATGTCACGGGGTGAATATGGAGAAGTTTCTATTTTCCAAGCAATTATTTCAGACTGTATTTTCAACCTGCCATAAAACGTATACCCCCTTTATAATGTACAGATGATGGCCTAAGTATTTAATTTTGTATATACTTCACATCAGGACTAATAACAGGGGTGAATATGGAGAAATGTGTTGTTTCCTAAGAAACGTTATAGTGGCATACAAAATACAAACTGAGATCCAGAGAAAGTCTCGTACACTAGAGCTGATACTGTTCATTAAGCCCTACAAAGAAGTGTTGCATCAAAGAATGTCCTGTAACTGTTTTTTTGTGTAATGTAATTTAATAAAATTATAACTAAGTCACTGAAAAGATCCTGTTACTGAAACAAATAATGTAAGTTACTGAAATATACTAAAACATTACATTATATACTAAACAAGACATTTTGAAAACTTGAACATTGCCTTTGTCTCTTTTGTCCCGGATGGAATGGACCCCCCTGAGAAAACAATTGGCCCCAGCATGGCCCCCTTAATAAAATTGGTCTAGAACCGCCACTGACTGGACCTGACAGCAAAACGCTAGACATTGGGTCAGTTATATCACAAGAATATTTGGTCCAGGTGCAGAAACGGAGATAGGGTATTTGTATTTGTTGGGGATTTCAACATGGGGTCAGGTTTGGTTGTTAGCTGAATATCAAAGATATTCTAGAAATATTAATAAGTATTAATGTTCAAAAATGATTAATTATAATTAATAAAAGCGGGGCACCATGCAGGAATCAGGGACCAATAACCAAATATGAACCAAATATTGTATGATCAATCAAAAGGGTTTGTCCACCTATAGATGGCAAATCGAGACGGTTTAACACTGGCCACGGTAACTGACTCCAACATTATAACCAAATAATCACAGCTCACAACTTCTTAAAAATATCATAGGATTTATTCAACTTTGGCATACATTAATGATCATCAGCTTTAGCAAACAAATCACTATTAACTTTTCTAAGCAACAACAAAACAAACATTTTCAAACAGTAATAGTAACAAAGCAGGTGGTACCGAATGCAGTCAAAGTGTGTAACATGGAAAAACACACAGCAATAAATAAGACACAACGGTTTTTAACTATCTTCTGCCCAGACATAAAAAGTCTCTTACGTGATCGCGCTTGGTAATGATTAGGTTGCATCAATCCTTTTAGGAAATCCAGCGGTGTTTTTCTCGGTTCTGACGATTTGACAAGTTTCAACGGCACAGGTGATCCTTCAGCAACGGCGCAGAAATCAGTGGAGTTGACTTTCAGGTACAGAAAGTTTCCTTCCTTCGTTAATAGAACAAGTGTTCTTTTCTGCAAGTATGAAGCCTTATCTTGTGTATAACGGCTTCCTTAGGGATCCAAAAATGTGTTGTTAACACAAAGTTCACTAAGACCACGCCAATTGAGTTAAAACCAGTTTATTTGGTTAGAGAGAAGGTTCAGAAAGGAAAAGACGGACTGGTCGAGGGGGAAGGTAGGGATGAGGGGGGTTGATCTAGGTTGTGGTGGCCGGAAAGCGTCTTGCCCCTGTGGTTCCTGTGGTAGAAAAAGAACAATTACTTTGCCAGAATTATGAATTTTAGCATGCATGTCTTTGATGGTGGGAGGAAACCTGAGCGACCGGGGGAACCCCCCGTTATGTCGGGGAGAACATGGAACTACACAGCCTGAGCTGACCGAGGTCCCAGGAACTTCTTGCTGTGAGGCCAAAGTGCTGTCCACCGGGGCCACCGTGCTGCCCATTGAAAGAGGTGAGAAACAGGGTTTTGGGGGGGAGGCATGTGAGAACTGACAAACGAGAGAGGAAGGGGTTAGACAGGCTTATATACATATGTGCAGGTGATGGATTAGAGAGGCACAAGTGAGGCACAGATTAGTGAGAGAGAGGAGAGAGAGAGAGAGAGAGAGAGAGAGAGGCGTGGTCTTATTCCTGAACCCTAGTTACAATAGCTACATAAAAAAAAGAGAGGTAAAAAGAAAATCAAACAGAGCATGTCATCTGACAAGTTTAGGTCTGTTTTCAGTAAAAGCAAAGTTCAGGGTTGAAATAAAATACTTCCTTTAGCTGCTGGTGCAGCTGGGAATATGTTTACCTCTTTCAGGTCACTGATGAGCTTGGAACGGCGATAGCTCTGAGCTCGGATTCTTTTAATGTCTTCGGTCACAAAATGGCCACACTTCCAGGGTTTCCTCCGTCTATGTGAAGGCTCGGCTAATAGAAACCCTCAGTTTGGTTTTCAACTTAAATTTAAGTTTATGTGTGAATTAACTGCCAGGGGATTTCTGTTGTGTTCTAGGCCTTTGTTTCAGCCAGACCGCATGGTCAGGTTTTTATGTTCCAGGTAGGCCATTGTCTCTTTGTCTATTGGCCTGTTATTTCTCCAATAAAAGACTTTAGCCAGGCTCCTCAGTTACCTGAAGTCCCGTCCTTTGTTGTCATTGATGTGCTCCATATTTCCACCCTAAAGACTCCAACAGCAACTGGTTTTAGCCTCTAGTGATGGGCAAAGCAGTTCTTTATATTTAGTATCAGTTAATTCAAAAGATTCATTCAAAAGATTCGTTCACCATTTCATTCAGTGCTTGACCAGAGATCTGCATAGCCTTCACTAGAACCCTGCATGGGCCTCAAATCTAGGCCCTAGCCTGGCCCTATCCTGGCCCTAGATGCTCAGGCCCTAGCCCGGCCCCTGTCAGACAGCTTATCAGAATTCTCTGCCCATGTTTTTTTTTTCTCCTCACCAAAACACAGTTTACTGTTGCAGCCAACAAAACGATTCAGTTTTGTTTTTAATGGCAGTTATAATATTTCATTTCATTTCTTTATAAAGTAAAAACATAAAATATTTTGAGCTTTTTTTAAAATAAGTTTTACGTTTTTTGTGATGACCAAGCAGCCAGCGATCAACAGTGAGTTGAGGATCAATTTAGCTTCTCAAATTAATTCTTGACTTTTTTTTGCTTGGTGGCGGCGGCGCAAAGAATTTGCATCAGTGCTTTTTAGTAATCGAATTAATCTAATTAATCTATTTAATCTATTTAATCTATGAACAGGGCTGGACTGGGACACCCCTCACCAATACACCATGCTTTCATATAACATGTGTACCTACTGTTGTTAAATGTAGCCTACACATTCACATTAATTTACTGACTCCATGGTGATCAGAGGTGGCCATGAAGTACACAACTTGTACTGACTAAGTCCTAAACAAAGTCTAGTAACTGGTTGCTAATACAGCGGATTAAGTTTAGACGTGTGCCCGTGCAGCGTCTCAAATATCAAACGGGGACTTCGGTGATGTTACTATTCTCTAGCAAGTTTATTTTCCTCCATATATCATACAGTGGCAATATCTTAACTCGTAATACATGTAACCAAACACCGTGGTGCCTTGCTCACCCCCAGGCTAGACGCTAGCACAGTCAAAAACTGTTTGCTTCCCAAATCAGCAACACCTGTGTCTGGGTTTCCTCTACGTTAAATAATAATAATAATAAATTAGAACAGTTAGCCAAAGTTACGACTGCTTTAGGAAACTATGTTAGCTACAAAAACAATGTCAAATAGCTTATGCAGCACTGTTTGACAGTGAGTGATCACCAGCAGTAGGTGACAGTGTCACTTTATGATAGCGTTATGATTATGTTATTATCATTTACCTTTTAATTGAAGTAATCATCATTTTTACTGTAGCATGGCACACCCTACCAAAGGGTGTCACTTTGTTTTGAAAAGGTAAGGACATTTAGGGGCTCAGATGTGACAAAACACTTGACCATGAGACGTGACATTGCACAGAATTGGGGTCATGAGAAGAAGACAAGAGTATATTTTAATACTATTTAGAAAAAGTAATTATTGATTAAATATATGATTGGGGAGGTGTGGGGGTTTCTCCCTCAGAAGATTTTGAGCATTAAACACTTAATTTCCTGCATTCTGGAGACATTATCTGCACCAATTTAAGGTATTATTAAGGTAAGGTTATTTATATAGAGGGAAACATGAAATTCAGGTGGCCGATGACAATCCAGATTATAAAATTATAATATAATATAATGCAGTAATCAGTAGCTCATTATTATTTTTTAGCTTAAATTATTATTTTTGGACAATGCAGATGTTTCTTCTAAATTTACATTGCATTGCAGGTTTTCTTAGTGCGCAAAAGAACCTTTCTCAAAGAATTTTCATTTGTTAATTATCATTTCTTGGTACAAGTTTTTTTAGAACATTTTTAACAAATGCTTTCAAAAAGTGACGGGGACAATATCTACCATTTCAAACAGGTTCAAACAGGTTGAGCTACTCCCTGCTTACATCTTCACCTCCACTCTCTTCCTGCTTTCTCTCTCTTGAGGTGGGCAGGGCTTATGGCCAGCCCGAAGAAGTTTGCAGCTTGTGCTTTTGTATTATTATTATTAGAAGCAAACATGAGTGATGTCCCAAACAAATTGGGATTACTGTGTGAAAAAGACTATGACTTCACGTTTAAAGATGAGGCCTCTTCACTGTGGCAGTATATCTAGATATAAAAAGTAGTGCTACAGTTTTATACCTGTTTTTTTTTTTTTTTACTTCTGTGAGGGTGGGGTCAAAAGCAGTTTCCTGTGCAGGAAACTGAATATGAGAAAATACATCTGATAATTTACAAAACAATGCAGCATGTGATCATTTTTGCATCTCTAATTACTGTTTCTTTGTTATTTGTTCCTCTTTGAACGCATCATAGGGGAACATCTTCCTCTAACTGACAGCATATTTACCATCATCACTCGCTCAGTGCACAACGTTCAGCTTCTCTGCCAGCAGGTTTGTAGCATGGAACAACTCAACTCCACTGTGGTCACTTCTAACACCTCCTCTTCTCCTGGATATCCACCTCCCGACTCCTGGGACTCCAGAGGTCTGGTCCCTGCTGTGATGCTGTCCCTCTGCTTCCTGTTGGGAGTTCCTGGAAACATCGCTGTGATCATCCTCAGACCAAACTGGCAGCACATGTCCAGTGTGAGCCAGAGTTTGATGCTGAATTTGGCCATATCAGACCTGCTCTGTCTGCTCACCCTGCCAGTGTGGATTTACGCATATCTGTACAGCTGGACTCTCGGCCTGATGGCCTGTAAGCTCCTAGCGTATCTAGTGTACTGCAGCCTTTATGGTAGCCTGCTGACTGTGACGGTGCTGAGTGTCCAGCGCTACCTACAGGTGGTGTACCTGCAGAAGTGCTTACATCAGGCCGGGAGGAAGAGGCTGCTGGCTCTGCTCTGGCTGGTGTCGATGATCCTGTCCATCCCTGCTTTAGTGGTTCGACAGGTGATCGAAGACCAGGACTGGACACAATGCCAGTCTCAATACTCTTCCCAGGCCCAGCATGTAGCCGTGCTGCTGACAGAGTCCCTGATGGGATTTGTTACATTTTCTGTTGTAGCATTTTCATACATTCGCCTCCACATAAAAGTGAACCAGGCAGCTTTCTTCAACAACCCACAGACGACCCGTCTGGTCACAAGTATCATTGTGACCTTTTTTGTCCTATGGATGCCAAATCATATCATAAATGTGTTTGCTGTGGTCGCTATTTCACTGAACAACAAGGGCCTTGTGAAGTTTTGTACAAACAGCTGGAACATCACTGGAGCACTGGTATTTATGAATAGCTGCCTGAATCCACTCCTTTATGCTTCTGCTTCTCGAAACATGTGCACTGTATGCCAAAAAACTTCCAGGTAGTCTAATCATTGACATAGTATGATCAATGAAAAGCCACCAGATATCAGAAGAGAGTGCAGAACTTCGACGATGATAATGCTTAGAGAAAATAAATTTGTTCTTATTCAAAACATCTCATCTGTTCCGTAGACACACAGTTTGAGGGTGTGGTTGTCTCATTTTTCATAGAGAGCTGTGGATGATTTCTGATTTAATGATAAATTTAGAGGTTAACCTCAAATCAGCTTTGTGCTCATTAAACATATATTTAAACATCTTAGCTTTGTGGGAGAGATCCAGTCAGAGGAAACAACACTTAATGAGTAGATTGAATAAATGTTTTTGTTGGAGTGAATGACCATTTGTCTCCAGTGTTTAGCAGAAGACAGACATGGAGACAGACCAGAGGAAAGATAGAGAGATAGAGATTGTGCTGGATTCATAATATAAGCGGATGTGCAATCTCATTCATTCAGTTATCTTTGTCTAGAACTACTGAAATCTATTTCAGCTCTTACACTGCATGATTTGTATATTGTATATATTTCTGTCTGACACATTGAAACATATCATTGTAAACATATTATGAAATACAGTAAATGGATTAATAAAATGATATGATGCATTTTCTTGCTTTATCTCTTCAAAAGGATGATTAGTGGGCTTTTGTACTTTTTGTACTTGTAAAGTAACAATAGCACACAGTAAAATACTCAAACTAAAAGTTCTGCACTGACAATGTTACTTAGCAACATTTGTAGTAATTGTATGTTAAAATAACAGCTGGTGGTGAGCAGTGCCGATGCCAAGCCAGAGCCACGCAAGTGGGCAGCATAACCAGGCTTAGCAGCCTCTATGGACATAATGTTAGCGCTAATGGCAGAGGCGAAGAGACCAAAGAGGATGTTGACAGAGGAAGCTAAAAAGAGAAAAAGAGAGGCTGAGAGCAAAGTTGTTGATTTGTTAGTTTTTGATCATAAGTTATGTAATCTTAATAAATGCATGTATACAGCTGTCCTTACAACGGCTGTGAATTACACTCAAATCAGCTTTATTGTAAGGAGGAAGGAATTTGACTTGTTTGTATTGTCTTAATGTACTTACACAGAAATATATATACAAATACACTGTGGATATTTTGAGCATGTGTTGTAAATCATAAAAAGGTTAATTTCCCTTAGTTAACAAAATAAAGAACGTTCAGAGTTCTTCTTCATTTGTAAACCATCTTTTAGATTTTCGGAGGCAGTTCTCAGAATAAGGAACTGACCGGACTTTTGTTGGGATCGGGATAATCCTGATTTTATTTTATTTATTTATTTTGGATCAAAGGTAGCCCAATCCTACTAAAATGTTTTGAACAACACATACTGAAGGTTTGATCCAAATCAAAACCAAGATGGGATTGGGCGATCTAATCCGATTTCAGAATCCTTTTTTTCTTTTCAACAACCTGTTTTCCAGATTTGATCCAATGCAACGGCCCAAATCTGATCAGACTACTTTTGAACAACTGGGCCCTGGTGATCTATTGAAGATCCCTGTAAAGATGGGGGCCATTTGGTGAGCACAGGATTGACACAACATCCAAGGATGGTGCCATCCTGATCTTCCGTCTCTGTAAGAGCTCACAAACGTCCTCTTTGTCGATCCTGAGTGCAGGTAGGGGATCAGTGGGGAGGTGTGATAGGGTGGCAAGGGTTGTAAATGGTTGTTTAATTCAGGTGAGGGGTGTGAGTGTGGGCTTATCAAAGTTGCAGTAAAACCAAGCAGAAACCTCTGCAACTGAAAAAGGAAACAAAGGTTTAAGTGCAAAAAACTGCGGTTCCCCAAACAGCCACTTGAGGCTGACTCCAAAAGCGAATCAATCTCCATAGAACCTCATGTTAAAATGCCCAACTTTACAGCATAAATAAGCATGTTTCCCCATTCATGACAACTCTATGGGGAAATAATACTATGGCATAAAGTTGGGCATAATTCAGGGCATAGTCACTTTGAGTAAGAACTGGAGCCACCACACTGAACTTTACAATCACTCCTCAGAAAACTTTGGGTGATTCTCCATAGTGTGGGGGGAAGGTCTCTGCTGTTGGTAATGTTCTTCAGGCACACACTGACACAGGGTTGTTGCGCACCTCTTTTCTACTCTGATCTCATACAGGCCTACTACCTTGTTTCTTACAACCCGCCATTCTCTGCTTCTGATTGGCTAGTAGTCCTTACCTGAGAACTGCGCATGTGCTACTTGTTACGGCCGCGCTGGCTGCCTTAAAGTAATTGTGTTCCTGAGTGCTTCTGACTGTCATGCAAATTCCAGCTGTGTGAGTCCCTTACGAGGATTGGTTCCTCTGGAGCTGGGACTCTGTGATTCGTGTGGCTGTGACTCTACCGACCTTGCCAACCTGGACTCTCCAATCAACACCAGCTGGACTACAAATAGTTTGTGTGTCCACAGTTCAGGCGACTGTGAACCAGTGATCAGTTGGGGTTGCTTATCTCTGTTAGTTAATGAAATATCTAGAGTGTTTGTATTTCCTGTTTCTCTCTTGCCTGTCTAAGTGGTTTCAGTCAGTTCGAACCTTTGTAAATCACATAGTGTGATAGTGCACCAAGTGTTGGGCGCTCTTTTGTTTGAGCATTGTTTGTTTACTTTGTATTATTGTAAAGCATATAGGTGCTGACCTCCTTTTGTTTCTCCTTTTTGTTGTCAGTACCTATATAGCCTCTTTTGTTGTGTTTTCTTGAGTCAACTCATTTATTTAAACCTTTGACTTTAACCGGAATTCAGTTGTCCTTTACTGCCTTCATTTCAATCCCAAATCACTGCCTTACCTTAACGAGCTGGGTCCTAATACTACTCCCAACAAAGTAAGATGCATCACTCTGTAGCGCAAGAGCGGAGCATACAACACATAGGGTGAAAAGAGGAGCTGCAGCAACGTGCAGTATGAGAAAAATATGGTGTTTTTTGAAAATTAAACCATGTAAACCTGTTTTGGTACAACCCCTAATTAAAATTTTGAACCTGAAAATGAGCATAACCTCTTTAACTAAAATTGTTGTGACTGCAAGAGGTCCATGCTCTCTGGATCCCTTGCCTGCCTGGGTTGTTAAGGAACTATAGCCAACCTTAGGATTGTATGTTTAGCTTTCACTCTTCACAGGAGATTTTCCAGCTTAATTCAAATCTGTTGTGGTTAAACCATCATTGAAGGAACCAAATCTGGATATAAACAAAAAATTCTAGACCTGTTTCTAATATGGCCTTCTTATCTAAAGTATTTGAAAAAGTGGTCTCAAATCAGCTTTTAAAATATCTGTCATCTAATAATCATTCTGAGCCGCTGCATTCTACTTTTCAAGCAAAACATACTACTGAAATGGCACTCACAAAGGTGGTAAATGATCTGTTAGTGGCTGCTGACTTAGATTTAACATCTGTCCCTTTGTTGTTGGATCTTAGCGCGGCTTTTGATACAGTGGATCACTGTATTCTTTTGGACAGAATCGAGAAATACTTTGGCATCTCTGGCCAGGGGCTTATGTGGTTGAAATCTTACCTTTCAGAAAGATGTGTGTTTTATAATAACACATTGTCCAATCCTTATCCACTTCCGCACGGGGTTCCACAGGGTTCAGTCCTTGGCCCCTTGTTGTTTTCATTATACTTAGCGCCATTGGGTCAGATCATTCGTTCTTTTGGGATAACTTTTCATTGCTATGCTGATAATTTACAAATGTATATTGCAGGAAATTGCATCTGATTCTGTTAAGTATTGATGTGCTTGTGTCGGTACCTCTAAAGTGCGAGCGGCAGTGTAAATGGGGCGGCTGTGGCTCAGGAGGTAGAGCAGGTTGGCCGTTAATCAGAAGGTCGGGCTCCCCCTGGTTGCGTGTCGAAGTGTCAAGTGGCAAGATACTGAACCCCGAATTGCCCCTGGCGGCTATTCTGCCAGTGTATGAGTGAGTGTGAATGTTAGTTTCCGTTTGAGCACTTAGGATCAGTGTGACTGGTGAATGCAGATGTAAGAAGACTAGAAAGGCGCTATACAAGTACGGAGCATTTACTTGGCTGCTGTGAGATGCTGGTTATCAGCAAACTTCATGCTACTCAGCGCAGCAAAACTGAGATGATATTGGTATGCTATTGGTCCAGCTAGATTAAGTCATTTGTATGACAATTTTACTCTATCCATTGATGATTCGGTCATTCATTGCAAGGATAAAGTAAAGAATCTTGGGGTTATTTTTGATCGATCACTTTCGTTTGATTTGTATATTAAAGAGGTGACAAAAGTAGCCTTATTTCACCTCTGAAGAATCTCAAAGATTAGATTAGATTTGGCACTTAAAGATGCTAAGGCCCTTATTCATGCGTTTGTTACATCTAGGCTGGACTATTGTAATGTACTGTTCTCAGAGCTGCATAAGAAAAGTTTGCGAGGTCTGCAGATGGTCCACAATGCTGCAGCACGTATTCTGACTGGGTCATCTAAATACATGCATATAACTCCTGTGCTGGTCTCACTGCACTGGCTCCCTGTTATGGTTAGAGCAGATTTTATGGTTTTGTTGTCAATGTACAAAATAGTGAATGGCCTTGCACCATTATATCTGTCTGATCTTTTGAATTCTAATGTGCCTACACGGTTGCTGCACTCCCACGGGACAGGACTTCTGACTGTAGGTTAGGAAGAAAACGGTTGGTGAGCGAGCCTCTTCGTTCCATGCTCCAACATTGTAGAACAGTCTTCTAGCAGATATTAGACTGGCATGTTTAATTGAGGTTTTTAAATCAAAGCTTAAGACCTACTTATTAACTGCGGATGAGTCCTAAATGTTCGTTTATCTTTGATGTCTTTGTATAAGTGGTATTTACTTTTTACTGTAATGTCTTATTTGGAGTTTAATTGAGAGATTTTACTTTGAAAAATTCTGAACGACATTAAAAGATCTATAGCCTGCTTGACACACCTCTGAAAGAGCCGTTAGAGAACGCGATTCCCCTAAATTTCCTCTGTCTGGAGATACTGGGGAAATTGAAAAGTTATCAGTAGGTTGGTGGATGTGGATCAAACACCAGAACACAAACACACTGCAGCACTCGCAGTAATGTGAGCCTAAGAAACAGTCGCTGCAGAATCCGTTAGTTGAAGAGAAAAAAAAAATGGCTAAAGGTATGATTGAGCACACAATTTGAATGTGACAGTCCTGCCCTTTACCAACTGAGCTAACCAAACACCATAGTAACTACATGTAATATTTTGCCCTATATTCTCACCCACCATCTAATGGTTTAAAAAATTGCTCCGCTGCAAAACTCGTTTGCCAACACCTGCTGTATATTTTTACTTCTTCTTCTTGTTCTAACATACGTATTCAACATAGTGATAGGCATACTCTGCCTGAATTCTACCAGTAGAAGAACATAGTGACGCAACGCGCTCCGACATCCATGGAAGGGGGGACCCACGGTTATGTAGATAGAAATGGCTAAATTTAAGGTAATAAAAACATAACGATTCATTATGTAACATCTTTATAAACTGCTGAAAACATAGTTATGGATCTCATATTGCATTTCTGTCAAAAGACCCTCAGAAATATTACACACTGAACCTTAAAGCAAAAGTAGCAATACCACTCTGGAGGTGGGCATGGTTTGCATTCAGCTGCAGTATGGGGAGGTGGCTCAGGTGAGCAGAGCCAGGGAGAGCAAATTGTCACAGGTGCTGTTCATTGTCTAATTGTGCTCGACCTCTAAATGCAGTATGGTGCTGGACGTCAGATGTCTGCAGCCAGCCATGATACACAAGGCGCTTTCCCACTGCCTTATCCGGGATAATTACGCCCATATGCTGGCTCGCTGCGCTGTATGGGAGCCGGAAGGGGGGTCCGATGTGATCCGCCTCTGAGCCGGGAATGTTGGTAGTTACGGAGGCAGAACGATGTCTGTGTGAGGTGAAAAGCCACAGGTGTGACATTTCAATGCTGTTGTCAAGTCACTGTCTTTTTTTTCTCCACAGTCTTACTCCAGAAGTCCACTGACTCAGGCTGCGCCACGGTTTTGTTACGTCCTCAACCCAGCGTCAACGTTTACTTGAAGCATCTTAGAATTGGCTTGTTGTTTATTTGTCACTTTTGTGCTTCTATTACCTTCTTCACAGCTCTCTGTGACCCTGTTTCGTTCCGTCGTATGCAGGCTGCATATCCACAGGAGCATTTCAGAATCAGAGTATGTTGCCTGCCTGATTTTGCTGACATGTTTAGATTTTCTTGATTTGGTAATCAGTGCTTGCTCTTTGTGATTCCACTATGATCATGTAGGCTACGTAGTTAAATGGTTTATTGTTGTTTTACGATCGGGAGTCTGCACACGGTATTTTATTTTGAAAATTGACTCAGTGGACTTTGCAGGTAACCTGAAGACATTTGCATAGTATCAAATAGGCCTAATACTTCTTAATGCTTGGCCAAATGTTCATAACGCAACATCACTGAAGACTAACAACCGAGTACTAGACCAGCAGAGTATAAACAATTATTCAGGTAGCCTAACCTGGCCCAGTGCCCTGTGGCAGTTGCTGTCTGTTAGTTTTCTGTATCTGATCATCGACCATCGCACCGCACCGGACTAGTAACACAACCTATAGGTCTACCAGAGAGGGAGCAGGGCGCTGGAGTGGACGGTGCAAGGAATCGACCGGTGCACTGTGGACTGTAGGTGATCACTCTCTTCGGCTAGATAAAGCCAGAAAGCTCCTTCTTTTAAGCATGATCCATGATACAAAAATAGAAATGAATGGCAAAAATAGCATAATGTCAAAATTTTAGAGACCACAAGTCACACACAGAACTAAACAAATAATTAAATATATTCAAGTTAACATTTAAAATAACAATGAAACAACATTTATTTATATACATAGCAATTTAGGGATAAAAACTCGGTCAATCTCTGAGATTATAAAGAGCACTATATGCTGGCAAGTACATGCTTTTTGGCAAATATTGTGCCATGTAATTACCCTACTGTAAGCTCCACATTTGTGCTGTGAAATTGTGAAGTCCTTAGGAACTGTTTAAAGGAACAGCACTGTCCAGAATGCTGAAAGGGAGAGGGGTCAAATCATAATTGGTTGTCTTAGCATGCTTGCTTGTCAATAAACTGTCAGAGCTAATTCCTTTTTCAGTGTAGCAGTTTGAGTGTGAGTGAGTGAGAGAGAAAGAGAGAGAGAGAGAGAGAGAGAGAGAGAGAGAGAGAGAGACCTTTTCTGCGGGCCTCCCCTACTGATTTCAAGTGAATTTAAGTTTAAACAGCAATAACAAAAGTTTAAACAGCAATAACACATGATAATGTGGTCGTCATCCTTACATAAAAAGTCAGACATTTGGGATACAGGTTCCATCTTGACAGCATTTGAGCACCAAGCATAATAGATGTAAAACAGAGTCCCACCCCAGAGTCCAGCGCTGACAGTTCAAAAACTGCGATGGACTGCCTGATAAAGATTTGTCAGTTCACTGTGGCAGTATATCTAGTAGTGTAGTGATCAAG